CCGCCGGGACCCGGGCTCGCGAGACAGAATCATAGAAAATCGTCCACGATGTCGTAAAACTATGTGAGGGACGCGTGGGGTCCTTGGTTTGAGTGGAGGACCCCTTCTCGGTTATAGAGATCTCTGGGTCACTGTGCTGTACATGCTCCGTCCCGACGCGTCTCGTTCTTCTCGTAAAGGTGAAATTCTCCGTGCTATTGAAGAAAACGGCTTGAGAAACAGGACGCTGGTGTATTTCACGTCCGATCACGGCGGATGTTTTGAGAGCACAGACTCCGAGGGCCAGCTGGGAGGATGGAATGGAGTGTACCGAGGTGAGGCCGGGCACGCTGGGGGGGGACAGGGACGGGAGCGACCGCCTAGCCCGGGCCCCAGCGTCGGAGAGCGAGCCGGAGGTGCCCGCTCTGTCAAAGCCTGTGGTCTGTCGAAGGGGCTTCTGGAGCCTCGGCCCCAAGAACACGTCCTCCCTAGATGCCAAGGTAGAGACGTAAAGACACGTGCTTTCCATTTTAATAGAAAAGAGAGAGACGTACAAATCAATAGGATCCAACCCCAAAGGAAGGCCGTTCTAAATAATACGTAGCGTAGTGTCCCAGCTGTGTGTGTCCTTCTAGACCTATAGGTCGTGACCCATTTGGGGCATAACCCTTTCCCAGTGGCGTTTTGTGAAACTCTGATACAGTCAGTCCACGTTATGCGTGGATTCCATCTTGGCGAATGCGGCCCTCGGCGCAAATGCATTTCTCACCCCCACATCGCTACGCCGGGTGCTTCAGCCGCCGTGCGCAGAGCACCAGGTCACTTGAGTCGCCCGACGAGCACGCTGCCCAGCCAGGCGGGACAAGGTGACGTGCAGCCTTCGCCGTCGCGGCTCTCAGAGGGAACGGCTCCTTCTCGCAGTTGTTTAGAGCCGCGTGTTTACACTTTTGCGGGTTTGGGTGGCGATTTGCCTGTTCCAAACGGAGTCGGGTGTAAGGACACGTGTTCCTGAGTGCGAGGAGGCTGTGACGTGCCTGCAGGGAACAGCACGGGCGTCAGGTAAGCTCGGCGCATGCTTCCCGGGCTCCGCTCTTGGCCATGACGTCGATGCTGATGGATCAGCCCTAGCCAGTCGCTAAGGGGCCTTTAAACAGAAACACCGTGTGACAAGGTTTGTTTGTATGGAGGGACGAAGGTGTAGCGAGTGAGCAGGGCCTCTCAGGAACCTGCGCCCGAACTTCCCCTGGGGACAGAGCAG